AGTATATAAGATAAGTATTTCATCTAAAAATAAATACATGCTTCATTATTTCGTTATGAGATCGTTATAAATTAGAATAAATATAATTACCTATTTCATATTTAATTAAACATTTACATAAATAAGATCAATCAAAACTTAAGTACATATTCGATTAAGATCAGAACATTTTATAAAAATAACAATGACGAAGATGACCATTGACCATGTAGTCAGTTTCAATCGAAAATCTCAAGGTAAGGACTCATGAGACGGTTTTCATCCACGGCCGCCGTGGTTGCAGGCCCGCAGTCTTTGTAGAATACAGATAATTATGTAAAAAATTAAAGAACATTACACGATGCGTTTTACACCCTCGGCGTGTGCGATTGTTGCGCTGCACTAGCGATCCCATAGTCGCGGCGGGTTGCACCCGTGCACTCTGCTATCGCTTGACGGGCAAAGTCAAGTCAAAGTCAAAGCATTTATATCAATTAAACCATTATTTGGTACTTTTGCAATCGTCCGTTTTGCTATAATCAACCGCTAAGTTTGAGAGTGATAATCGCAACTGCGACGGCTGTGTAACCGCACAAAAATCCGATCTCGTGAGTCTTTAGCCTTAGAGTTTTTGACCCATTAGTCCCATTAAATATCTATCTAAAAGAGATCGATCACGAGTTGATATAAAGATCAATGTATTAATTTCGACTGTTAAACTATTTTTCCAAAAACAAAACCAAACTTACTTCAATTCGAAAAGTCATCAACACGAATTCCCTTACCAACTTAAATACAAAACTACATAGATGCTTAGACAACAAAAATTACGAGTCAAACAAACAAAACTAGATAACTTAGGAAAAATAAACTGTTTCTATGTTAGACCATTTGTCATAGAATTCGTATGACAAATGGGCAGATACATTTATCTTGCTGTCAAACGAAGGATAAATATGATCGGCAGTATTATGATATGACAAGCTTCATTCCTTTTATGAAAGATATAATTATTATATTATGTTGAAGGATCCATACATCATTGGACATTGCACATTTAGATGTATTTATATATTTTTGTATGGATAATAGGAGGTAAACGAGCAGACGGATCACATGATGGTAAGCGATCAGCGTCGCCCATGGAGACAGGTGTGTTGCCGGCCTTTTAAAAATGATTACGCTCTTTTGCTGACTTCTTTTCTTTTATTTTACAGTATATGATCTGATGTACCGGTCTGTGTACCTCAGAGGTATCTCTGGTACATATATCTATACAATAGGTATATTGTATTCAAAACTGCGCTGTCTGATAAACCCCAACTTTGCTTTGCCTAACCTGCTAAACCTGTAGAATCATGCCCATAGTCCAGCATCTGACAATCGTAGGTTCTTTTGTTCATGCAACACAAAGTAATCTTTGCTTCTAAAAAGTAACAACACTAAAGAATTTTTGTTCATATTCTAGGGCATATTGCTCCAGCTAAATGAATGTGTCCTTAAATTGATGGGCACTTTCATCGAGAGGTTGTTTCGACCTAATTAATGATCCCACAAATTGAGTGTGAAATTGCCTCGCTTCGTACCAAAGCCACTCCCGAAACAAAGCGATATGTCACAGGGATTTGATTGATAGCACCGAGAAATAATCATGAACATTCCTTTGCTAATATGTTGATGTAAGTTTCGTGAATAACATAAGGTTATGTCAGGACTTTAATCTTTAAAATGGTTAGACAGAGACGTATATCTACGATCCAACTTCTAGTTCCCAATTTTTTACTGTTATCTAATTGCCAAGCACTGGGCACAGTTCCAGATTCTATGCTGCTACTGAGAAATTTTCGAAGAACCGTACAAGCCCCAATGATACTGTATCCACAGCGAAATGAACTCATAATTATTTCCATTCGCATTGGTCGACCAACGCGGTATTTGAGATTTATAGTGGTTAAGTACATTTAGAATCTATTCCAGTAATTCCGCAACTATTATCTTAATCCAGTGATGTATGAATCAATCCCAAATATATTTGTCTGTCTTAAGTAAATGCACTAAATCGTCTGGCTCCCAGCCAGCGGCATCAAAGGAAACAGTTCATACAAAGCTCTCCTTAGTTCTGTAATCGTATATAAATATATTATTTTCTCTGTCCAACGCTGGTATACAAACAAATTTGTTCCTACCCTCAACCGAATCACTTACATCTAAAGTTATTGAATATACATTGTTAGTTTTTACATCTAGATTTAATATTTGTATTTGTTTATTGTTCTCATTGGCAGTGTCTATTGCTAATTCGTTTGGGTAATCATTGTCATGTACATCGGCGTATATGTCATTGTCTGTCTCGTTTAGTGCTGCTATCATCTTCATACTGTTCCGTCTCGTGTTCTCGACATTTATTATTTCTCCTACTTTCATTTGCTGCACGTTTTCCTCTTTCACTTTCTTACTTTCTCTGTTATTGAAAATCTTCTGTGATGATGTCCTATTACTATATCTTCTCCAAAAAGAGTCCGACGTGTTCTGGCTACTTGAAAATCCAGTCGAAGTAGTCGTATTGAACGTGTCTCGTCTTTGCATTGTTTCTCTCAAATTCCTGCTACATCTCATTAATTTATTAATTCTTAACAATTTCACAAATCCTTCTCTAAATTTCGACGACATTAAATTGTATAATATTGGATTGATCGCCGAGTTTAAATATAGCATAACCCTACAAAAATATAAAAGTATGTAGTAACCGTCTATACCTAATGACATTATTGTCTCTGGTGGGAATACGATGATCCATAGAGTGAGGGCTTTAAATGGGAGGAGACAGAGGAAGAAGGAGAGGACGACAGTACCGAGCATGAGGATGACTTGCTTTCTATACCTGACGACATTACCAGTGTTATTGGTATTTTTAGTGTTTTGGGCAATAATGACGGGGTTTTCCATGAGATTTTTGGCTATGACGCTGTACAAGACAAGGAGCACTCCAAGAGGGACGATGAAGAAAACTGCTATGGTGAGGATGAAGAACAGCGCCGACCAGAAGGTGTCTGCCTGGGTAAGGCAGACTGGGACCTGGGTGCCGTCATCGTAAACCTCGTAGGTGAAGGTGGCCACGGCGAGAATGGGACTGTGGAACAAAAAAAGATAAGTTATTGACATCGTAGGTAACACAATCTAGTGACGCCAACATATCAACTGCAACTAATTCATACTTTACGTTTTACAACAGATATTTAACATTATTGTAAAGTATGTTAAAAATTTATTGACAGACAGACTGCTTGATGTAGTTTTTTAAGGGGGGAAAATCATCGAATGTTTCTTCCGCCAGGGTGAGACGGGAGGGAATGTCAGACTCTTACTGACTAAAAACTACCCCTTTCCTACTCCTGCACTTCGAGCTGGAGCCCTGGTAACCTTTTACGTTCTCCGCGACTCGTATCAGCATCAGCCCTATTGAGCCTTTGCTTGTATTCGACCTTTAATTGTTTTTTTCTATTATTGATTAACCCTACATAATCCTTCGTAATATCTAGTTTTCATGAATTATAATATTGCCTTGTTTGTTTTAATGAATGAGTTTAAAAATATATAATATGTGTACAATTGGTATAATTTTCATATTTTATTAAGACTGCTTCGTTGGCCGAGTGGTCGCAATTGCGACTGCCGGGCGAAGGGTCTCAGGTTCGATTCCCAGGTCGGGCAAAGTATTACTGGGTTTTCGTATTCTCAGTAGTAGCACGGAGTCCGGAACCGGTATATGGCAATAGGCTCACCCCCTATTACATTGTACAGTGGCATTAGTGGCATAACCCTTCGGGGAAAAAGGCGTGATGTGTATTTATGAAAATTGAATGTATCTTGTACACGCTGCCAACAGTATACAATCCAGTTTATCATGATCTCCCTTTGTATGATCTTTTTGCACATTCAACGATCAGTTTATACTGGTTATGCATAGCTCAATGTTTACCTATAATAAAAGGGAGAGTACCGCATTGATAAGGAAATTATTATTGTTGTTATTACATTTATGTCATGTCTTCAACTTGCGGTCACTGCGGTTTATCACTTAGAAAAGGGGATTTCTGGATATCGCCACAAAATTATTTTGCTGAATGACCTTGGTATGAAATGGAATATCAGTCTACATAACTATTAAACTATGTCCTAGTGTGGTATGCCTGCCTTTCTGCTGGATGAAGAGACGGTTGGTGCGGTGACTGGGCAACCGGCTGCCGTGCAACGTGTTGTGGGTTCGATTCCCGCACGGAACAACACTTTGTGTGATCCACGGGTCTGGGTGTTATTGTGTCTGTGAACTTGTATGTTTGTAAACGCACCCACGACACAGGAGAAAATCCTAGTGTGGGGTAACGTTTTTTAAGAAACAAAAAAAAAGAGACTGGTCTGGAGTAGTTTTTATTTTATTTAAGGGGGGAAACTCATCGAATGACTACTCCCGCCTGGGTGAGGAGGGAGGGAGTGTCAGACCCTTACTGACTAAAAACTACCCCGTTCGTACTCCTGTACTTCGAGCCGGGGCCCCGGTAACCCCTTAAGTTCTCCGCGGCTCCGTATCAACATCAGCCCTATTGGCCCCCATCGTTGGATGCGGAAGACAGGATCGATGTTTTGGTAAAAAGTAATGCGATTACAATTTAAACTGTCAAACACCGCGAGGACACCGGTGACCGCAACCTATTGTTCTTTAATTGTGTCTATAATGACGGTACTCAAAGGGTTAATGCATTGTAATCATTAAATACATTACATTGAAGTTGCAAAATTAGTACAATTTTATCAGTGGAACACCCATAATAATATGTATCTTAATAAGTCAATAACAGTACAGTAGGTATCTGGAACTCGGGGAATGACTGGCTCGGGACTCCCATCTCTTATCTAATTATGTACCTACTCGGCTGCAAATATAAACAGACACATTCGTCTCCTTCACATCAGTCGTCTCTCGTACATCCAACACTTCAAACCATTAAATTCACTATAGCAAAATGTTCGCCCTGAAGCTGGTACTAGCTGCAGTGCTGGTCGTCGCAAGCGCCAGACATGTGCCACAGGAGCACCACGAACAAGGATACCTCCTCTGGTTCGACGAAGAAGGACAACCTATATTCGAGCATGAAGACTTGCTCCCAGAGCCGGAGGTGTCCTACCAGCCAGAACACCTGGCAAGAACTCGCAGACAGGCGCAGGGCAGCGTCACCCTTAACTCCGATGGCGGCATGGGCCTGGGTGCTAAGATCCCCCTTGCACACAACGACAAGAATGTGGTAAGCGCTATCGGCTCCATGGACTTTAACAACAAGATGCAGCCTGCTTCCAAAGGCTTCGGTTTGGCTCTAGACAATGTCAATGGGCACGGACTGACCGTGATGAAGGAAAATATTCCCGGGTTTGGAGACAGGCTGTCGGGTGCTGGCAAGCTGAACGTGTTCCACAACGACAACCACAACGTGGCCGTGACCGGTTCTCTCACCAGAAACATGCCCAGCATCCCGAGCGTGCCCAACTTCAACACTGTCGGCGGGGGCGTCGACTACATGTACAAGAACAAGGTGGGAGCATCTCTGGGCATGGCCAGTACTCCGTTCTTAGACCGCAAGGACTACTCCGCGATGGGCAACCTGAATCTGTTCCGCAGTCCGACCACCACCGTGGACTTCAGCGGCGGTTTCAAGAAGTTTGAAACTTCCTTCATGAACAGCGGCTGGAAGCCCAACTTCGCCTTTACTTTGGGCAGGTCTTTCTAAAAATCTTCGCATTCATTAATGATAATAAGAGTAAACATCAGTATTGCTCATACTATTTGCTATGTAATCTAATGTATTAATAAATGAAAATTATTTAACTATGACAAATTATTTTCTACCTCTCCCGTAAGACGTCGACTGGATTATTTGCCTCTTAAACAGCAAACATTTTGTGGAATTTCTTAGCTTCTTTTTCATTTGTAAAACCTAATCCAACAACTTCTATTTGATGAGGTAAATCAATATCGATAGGCAAAGCAATCAGCGCCCCTGATACTTTTATATTTTAAAAGCACAATTTTGTACTATATTCCATAATAAGGCTGTATTCATCAAACGACAAAATATTTTTTTTAGGGTAATACATTTTCTCTTTGTCCATATAAAACACATCAGCACCATCCGGTAAAGGTATTATTTCACGTCCACATTGAAAGGTATCGGCACGTGGTGCGAAGTATGCAGGTCCGTACTTTTTTTTGTGCCAAAAATAATGCACCGAAAGTATTAAAGTCTTTGATACAACTTCAGGATCTTGTAAAAATCGTATAAAAGGATTAAATGAAGTAAGGACACGGGTTGAGCTAACGAAAACTCCTGTGGTTGTATGTGTTTGCTCCCTATTCGAACCTATTTTTTTTATTAATTATAAAAATTACGACATTATGATGTCTATTTAAGTATTAATCTTGGTGGTGTAAAGAATATATCCGTATTATCCATGGATTAATTGGTTTTCCCATCCTATTTTTTAGGAGTCCGATTATCGGATAGAATAAGAAACTCCATACTGCGCTCCAAAACTCAAATCGCTGACGTTGGTCATAAAGTGGAACTGGGCTGGTTATGTCTGCTGCACGTCAGGCGAGCGCTGGGAAAAACTTACTACGGAGTGAAGCCGACTCAACGCCGATAGATGTTGCAAGCTCGTCCCGCCTACCGGCCCAGAAGAATATGGCGGGACGAGCTTGATTCCTATGGGGATATAAAAGGATTGGCCACAGAAAGCTTTAAGAAGAGACGAGTGGAAGGAAGTGGAGGCCTTTGCCCTGTAGTGAGACGACCATGGCTAAAAATAAATAATTTTCTTGTAATATTCTCGTCTTTGGTTTTTAGTTGGAGTTATTAAATGTGGGGGCTTTTGGGGATGGAGTGTGTTATAATGTCGATTGTGGATTTCTGAGAGTATGGCAAAGATTAGTATCATGTGTACTACCAGCGTGCAACAATAAAAAATATCAAGTTTAGTCAGTTGAATCGAGTTAGACTCAAGACTTAATCTTTCCTGTCTATCAACCTCGTTATTCGTCTAACAATGCGACCTGACTTTGTCTTGTAAAATTCTCTTCTACCTTCATCTCTCCCCTGTGAAGAATAAGACTGCATAGGAACTACCACTGTTATTACAATATTCTTGCCTTAAGTATTAATAGCCGAGCCCTATTTACGACCTGCGACCACCATAAGCGCGGGCCTGCGGACGGCGAGCATGGGTAGCTCGCCGCCCGACTAGAACCAGACCCGAGCATACGGCGCGTCTCGTTCCGCGCGCGCCTCAAAGAGCCATCAGACCACCACGGATGGGGCTCAATAGGGCTGATGCCGATACAAAGCCGCGGAGGACTTAACGGGTTGCCGGGGCTCCGGCTCGAAAGGCAGGAGTAGGAACGGGGTGGTTTTTAGTCAGTAAGAGCCCGACACACTCCTTCCCGCCTCACCCAGGCGAGAGAAGTCATTCGATGATTTTCCCCCCTTAAAAAAAGCATGCCCTAGTTTCTTAACAATTTTTACATCTTCGACTACATAATATTATGATCTATTATTAGATAATCTTTGCTTCACAGTAGCATGGTCCCAATTACTATTATGATTCCTTTTAAAGTAGGCATGATCAGTTGACTGTAGCATTGACAATGACTTAGCATTTTTATTGGGATACCCTGGCTTGAGTAAATTATTCTTGACAACGAACTTTTCATATTTTTTAAATCTTGCAACCTTTGACTTTAGCCTTTTATATGACACAGGTATATTATCTCTTAGTCTTAAACATAAAAAATGAGCCCTAAATTAGGATGTTTAATATTGCTCTTTTGCGGGACTAATAACTTTCAAAACGATGGCAACACTAAATTAAAGTACAGTGGGCACTTGGGCAGTAAATCAACCTACTTCTATGTGTAAATTTTTGTTACTCGATTTTCGACCATTTATATAAACGATAGAATTGAAAATCTAATAAAGTTTGTTCGTTGATTGTTCAAAAGTATAAAATTGGAATTTATTTAAGTGAATAAATCTTTTATTTAACATAACAACATAACATCACGCTTTTTATCCCCGAAGGGGTAGGCAGAGGTGCACATTGCGGCACTTAATATTACTGTACAATGTAGCACCCACTTTTCACTACTTATATTATGAGTCCCATGTAATAGGAGGTGAGCCTATTGCCAAATACCCAACACATTTCCAGACTACGTGCTACCATCGAGTTTTTTTTTATAACCTAATCATACTTACTTTTCCCGATTCGGGAATCGAACCCGAGTACCCTTGCTCGGCAATTAATTTTTATAATTTTTCATTAATTTATTTTAAGAACAATAAATCCGATAGGAGCTCGACTGGATATATTTCATTAAGTAACACACTGTCTATTCTTAGTCTCGGTCAATTGGGGTCAGTTTGAGATAGCATATCGTATTGGGGACTAGGGATTCCTTTCTGTATTTATAAATATCTACTACTATGAATGGGATAAGGGAGATAACATGACATGACGCCAAGTTTCTTATTTACGTCTTCTAAACCCATTTTTTGGCGACGACAAATCATCCAATGCCTTCTCCCGCCTCGATGGAGGGAATTTCAGTGGTTTCAGATGCTTACAGACTAAAACCACTGTAGGAACGGAGTAGGAACAGCCTACTCCTGCTTCAAGCTGAAGCTTCAGCAACCTTCTTCTTCGTCTGCTGCTACGGACACCTTTTAATTCATGAGGATTTAAGCAAACGTACGAATATCAATTTTTCACCACTTGTTTTATTAGATTAGCGTTGTTTACGGACATTCGTAACACCAGAGGCGTCACAGGTGCGTTGCCGGCCTTTGAAAAAGAAGTACGCTCTTTTTCTATAGGTCGTATCGGTAAATATCTGTACATGTAAATAAAATTAAAGTGTCTGTTTGTAAAATAAACATAACCGCTTTTTACTACATGCATATGCATGTAGTAAAAAGCGGTATTCATATGAATATACATACGATATACATTACACATACCAAAATAATATGTATTACCATTTTCGTTGATCTGTCTGTTTGTACTGGCTAATTTCTGGAATTGCTGAACTGATTTCGGCATTCGACTTTTATTGGCAGGTAGCTGATGTACTAAGAAGTAGTATACTTATATTTTGGAAAATTGAAACAATAAAAAACAGCTAGTATCTAATATTTCAAACAAGATAATATTCATAAATCTTTTTATGCATGCTCGTCGGTTAAGGGTACTTTTAGTTAGATTGATGAATGTTATGAAGCGAAACACGTAAGTCAGTCTCTGCCTACCCCCATGGGAGACAGGCGTGAAGTTATGTATGTATGTATAATATTCCAACAAACTCTTGAACGTACAATATTAGTATGATCAGTCTATAGATTAAATTACGAAGACCTTTTTATCCCTCTCAATGGTAAGTCGCGACCCCTGCACATCGAGCTATGCAAAATCAGTAGTAACTAACAAGTTACTACTGATTTTTTCGCATTTGCAACTTTTTTGCATATGCGAAATGCACTGCCTCGTTGGCCAAGGGGTCGCTTACCACCAGGCGAGATAGTGGTAAACGTCAGCCCATCAAATATAAAAAAGTGCGACTGCAGGGCAAGGGGTCTCGATTCACGGGTCGGACAAAGTATTACTGGGATTGTGAAAACCTTAGTAGTAGCACGGAGTCTGGAAATTACTGCAAGGTTGGTGCGGTGGCTGGGCAACCGGCTGCCGTGCAACGTGTCGCGGGTTCGATTCCCGCACGGGACAACACTTTGTGTGATCCACAAATTGTTGTTTCGGGTCTGGGTGTCATTGTGTATGTGAAATTGTATGTTTGTAAACGCACCCACGACACAGGAGAAAATCATAGTGTGGGACTAAGTTTAATAAAAAAAAAATGCGCCCGGTATATGGCAATAGGCTCACCCCCTATTACATGGAACTCATAACATGAATAGTGAAAAGTGAGTGGTGCATTGTACAGTGGCATTAAGTGCCGTCATGTACACCTCTGCCTACCCCTTCGGGTACAAGGCAAGGTCTTGATAAACTGGTTTTGTATAGCATGACATTTAATATTTGTCCAAAATGAAGTCCTATTTCTTTATTTGTCAGAGTTAATTAAATAAATCCATCACTACAAGTGGGCCGCTGTGGGTAGAACAAAAATATTGCCTTAATTATGAAAAGTACGTCGTTTTATTTTTTTTGTGGTTGATATTGTACGAGGAAGGGCGACTGCAAGTTTTTGGGCCGAGAAATATGATTTTTGTAAAACATAGTATATGTAGGACTTGTAGGTAGAATGTATAAGGAACCTTAAAATTTTGTAACACCTAAGTTTATTAATTATAATCATCTAAGTAAATAACATAATTTATATAACTACATAAATATTTACAACTTAAAATTAACTACAACTAAACTATTAAATAAAAAGAAAGTAAAAAAAAGAAAACAACAAAAATTATACCCTTAATAATTTGTTCCTACATTCATAGCAATTAAATAATCTATTCTATTCTATTCTTGTAGGATTATACTGAGAATTTTCTGAACCGAATTGAAAACTGAAGAATATTATTTATTTCTTCTTTAGTTAGGAAAATATTAATGAACGTAGAAAAACATAGATTAACAAAATAAATTATTATTTCAACATTAAGTGTAACAAAACCGACTAATTTGATTGAAGTCGGTTAATTAATATAATAAAGTGTAACAAACACTTTTCTGAAAACCGCATCAAAATCCGTTCAGACAATCGCGGACAAACGTACATACAAACATGGGGGCAAGTCCCTTAACGCCGGACGGCACCTAACACCGGACACTTGTCGCGGAGAACCTAACGGGTAACCGGGACTCCGGCTCGACGTGCAGGAGAAGGAACGGGGTGGTTTTTAGTCAGTAAGAGTCTGACACTCCCTTCCACCTCACCCAGGCGGGAGCAGTCATTCGATGATTTTCCCCCATAAAAAAAAAACACCGGACACTTGTATTATCTCAATAAGTAATAACGCGAGCGAACGCTAAGACACCTATGATTTTAAGTACAAATTTAATCGCTCGTGTTATCAGTTATCGAGATAAATAAAGTGTCCGGCGTTAGGTGCCGTCCGGCGTTACGGAACTTTCCCCTACAGCTCAAACAAAGAACCTCTTTTTTTAAATCGCTAAAAAAAATAGATTACAATACAAAAATATCGAACGTTTTAATAGTACCGTTATAATAATTAATGTGAACTTATTTAACCTCTTTATCTTAACACGGGTAGCGCGGTTAGCACCGGTTATGTCCCTACCTACTACATATCACTTTCATTACTATAGGTCACTAGAGGTCCTCTTGTGATATCATTCGGTATAGGGGATTCCTTTTTACTGAGAATTATGTCTGCTAGATATGCCAAGTAGTCAACAATAGTAAGAATGTAGTTAATACCACGTAGGTCGGTAATCTTCAAGGACTTTATCCCTAAAGTAGTTCAGAATTGTTTTCTCGAAACTTTTTTGCACTTATTTTATTATGTGACTGCAGAACACCCCCTAGTGATCTCTAAGTTATTTAACAAGTCCTAGTAAACTTTCTTTTAGGTCAATCATTAATCATTTAGCTGCGCTTGCTTTAACCAAAACGACTTCTCATCGACAATCTAATCGGTAATCCACACAAAAAGTATTCAAGGTGCTTAAAAGGTGCTTAATTTTATACTACAACAGTCACATCTAGTAAAGTTATATCTATCATTAACGCGGGACTCTCCTCAGCTGAAGCTAATGATAAGAATATCTTATCGCAACGCACCGCTTCCAATATAAACAGAGTCCCGCCAAGACTTCGCATCATTCGAGATCCTCTCTCGTACATCCAACACCACAAGCAAACTGTTCCACATACAATAGAACAACATGTTCGCCATGAAGTTGGTACTAGCTGCAGTGCTGGTGGTCGCAAGCGCCAGACATGTGCCACAGGTCCAGTCAATGTGCGAACCAGTATGCCTCGTGAGGTTCGATGACTATGCAGCAGTACCCGAACATGAAGATCACCTGCCTAACGGACAACTAGAATTTGTCGGATTCGTAGAAGATGGACGCCCAATGTTCGAGTTAGAAGACCTGCTTCGAGAACCGGAGGAGAACTATCAGCCAGAGCACTTGACGAGGACTCGCAGACAGGCTCAGGGCAGCGTCACACTAAACTCCGACGGCGGCATGGGCCTGGGTGCTAAGATCCCTCTCGCACACAATGACAGGAATGTGGTGAGTGCTATCGGCTCCATGGACTTTAACAATAAGATGCAGCCTGCTTCAAAGGGCTTCGGTTTGGCTCTAGACAACGTCAATGGGCACGGACTGACCGTGATGAAGGAAAATATTCCCGGGTTCGGGGACAGGCTGTCGGGTGCTGGCAAGCTGAACGTGTTCCACAACGACAACCACAACGTGGCCGTGACCGGTTCTCTCACCAGAAACATGCCCAGCATCCCGAACGTGCCCAACTTTAACACTGTCGGTGGGGGCGTCGACTACATGTACAAGAACAAGGTGGGAGCATCTCTGGGCATGGCCAGTACTCCGTTCTTAGACCGCAAGGACTACTCCGCGATGGGCAACTTGAACGTGTTCCGCAGTCCGACCACAACCGTGGACTTCAGCGGCGGCTTCAAGAAGTTTGAAACTCCCTTCATGAACAGCGGCTGGAAGCCCAGCTTCTCCTTTAATTTTGGCAGGTCATTCTAGATCGTTTTTCTTAGTATTGTTAATTTATTTCATTTAAGTCAAAACTATGTCACGTAACAAATTTCAGTATTCTTGAATTTTAACAGCCTGTTCAGAATTATTGTAAAAATAAAATTGTAAAACAATGTTTCACATGTTTATGAATATAACCTTAACTGTTTCCTCAATACAAATCGACTGTAGGGTCTCAGAATGAATTTGTGGGAGAAAAACTGACGATGATCCATTCCTTTACATTTTAAAGATATACCTATATATTATATCACAGAACTTGTGCTATTAATATTGCATAATAAGATAAACTGCCATTTGGACTTAAAAATAGATGGAGCTGTAACTGACTAACGAAACAATGAACGAGCACATTCAGTACTCACCCACGTTCTATTCTATACCATACCTACATCTACATACACAAGTTGGTGTACTCCTTGAACCCTGTGCAAACAGCAGAGACGTTAACTTGGTAAACAAATGTGATTCACTGGGTGCCTTCATCATGTTTAACCACATATTACAAGGGTTGTCTACACTTTCAAAATGTTACACGGAAACTGTTTGAAGGGAACGAAAATATGCGTTTCCTTTGAAAATTGAGGTTTGGTTGGAGGTGAAGTCAAGTGGTGTGTCAAAATTGTTGTGTTTGTAGGTTCATTGTATTTGTTTAACTAGGGGAATGTGACAAATGAGCACACAGATCACCTGATGGTAAACGATGAGCACCGCCCATGGACACCCGCAACACGAAATGCAAGGATTCACACACGGAATATAGAGATTCACAGGTACATTGCAGGCCTTTTAAAAAGGAATACGCTCTTTTCTTAAAGGTTTGAAGGTCGTATCGGTCCGGAAATACCACCAACGAGAAATCATTCCACAGTTTGGCTGTGTGAAGAACAACTATTTTCTAAGCCTATTTTCTCCTGTATCGTAGAAGCGTTTACAAATATACAAGCTTATATAACATGACACCCAGATCCGAAACAACAATCTGTGGATCACATAACGAGTTGTTCCGTGTAGGACTCGAGCCCGCGACACGTTGCGCGGCAGCCAGTTACCCAGCCACCGCGCCAACCATGGAGTCTTAAACTCTTTAGGATTGATATAGTCATTATAACGAGAGATGATAGAAGGATGCAGTTATGCTAAGTATGGGTTTTTGTACTGACAAAAGCTGGGTAAGATATTCAGTTAGTAATAAATAAGTTTGCCACGAGCATTTTAAAAATACATACATACATAACTTCACGCCTGTCTCCCATGGGTGGTAGGCAGAGACTAGGGAACGCCAATTACTACGATTCTTACATACCTCTTTCGCTTCATTAACAGTCATCAATCTTATCATGCATGCTCGTCGGTTAAGAGTACTTTTAACTTTAATATTAGTGCTCCCACTGAAAGACTTCGATTATTGGCAGTGAATTATTATAACACTATTTACCTTTACAAAATAATCGACTACGAAATAACTTCAAGAACGAAAAAGAAAATAATAATACCAACAAAATTGCATTTTTCAAGACAATGTAGATGCAACCCTAAGTCCCATTGTTAGCTCACAATATGCCATAACTTAAACTTCGCAATAACTTAACATGATACTGATAGCGGCCATTGTCTGCGGTATCGTTGAGATGAGCTATATCTCTACTTGTGATGCGACGGACTTGTCATTTCGGATCTGGATACGGTTTCAGTTACTTTTTGTTAGGACAGGACATCTTGACATACTTATTCATGCATGACAACTCCTGTAGGCTAAGATTCACAATGGAGACTAGAACAGCAAGGAAATAATGAAGTCCCATGAATAAATGTATCGATTTTTATTTAAATACACCAGAAACTGTTTTAAAATTGTCAATCTCCAAAATTATCTATTTTACAAGGCAGTTTTATATCTACATCGACAAGTCTAAATATTTACAACTTCAAAATATATTAATATTATTTAAATAAATATAAGAATACACAGAAAATAAAAAAAGTAAAGGAAACAAAAAAAACTGTTAATTTTTTTCTGGAGAAGAGGAATATTTCTTTTTCTATTTATATTTATTTGTGGAGAACATTTGCTACTATAATTTCAAAACTAAAATAACTTAATTATGAATAAATATACACAACTTGAGTTACTAATAATTAAAAACTAAAATATTTACACCTTAAAAAATAATAAAAATGTTACCTTAGGCTTAAGGCATCAAAGAGGAATAAATAAGTAGATGCTTAAAAACTTTTATTTACATTAAACCAACACTTCAAAATAAACTAAATTTTTAATTCGATACTAAGTTCGGTTCCAGTTACGGAACTTCGTGACATCTATAAACTATACATCGCCAGCTTAGCTCATTGTATGCACATTGTTTGAGTAATGCATGCATAAAATCATAGTTGTTTGCCTCGATTAGGCAGAGTATAGAGATAATTAGAGATAATTTAGGTTATTTAGCGTGTTACTATATTCGTTCGTAATATAGGACTAGAACAAAGCCACATTGCATAATGATCCCTACTAAAAACCCACTCATTGCGTTGTTCGATACAAAGATTTAATGCTGAATTTGCTTGAAAATCGATATAGTTTTTTTATAAAAACATCATTTTTGTTAAATAGTTATTTTTGCTATGTAAAACTTTAAAGGCGCCAACGCACAAAGACCGGCAACGCATCTGTGACTCCTCTGGTGTTGAGGGCGTCCATGGGCGCGCTGATCGCTTACCATCAGGTGATCCGTCCGCTCGTTTGCCTCCTATTCCATAAAAAAAACTCCGGAATCTTGTAGTCCCCGAACTACTTAACTTTTAACCTATTTATAATACCCTTTAACTGATAAAACATTTTAAACTGTAATTTTAAAATGCAGGAATCGAACCTTTTTTCGTCAGTCGTTTTTCCAACCACTAGAGGCAGTTACAGCTAGCATCTACATAATTATAATTTTAATTATTGAGTGCTAATTAAACATTTTATAGAGTCATTGAGCAACAGTTGCTAGACATTACACTAACACATTTTACAGCTTGATATTAAGATGGAAATTGCTTTATTATCACCAGTCAATGTGACGCCTTCTGCTTATATTTAAGTTTATAATTTAGGACTTTTTTCCTGTTCCTAAGAGCCATTTTTCATTGAAGCGATATAGTGGCCTAATGTCGGCATATCAAATGTAATAAAAAAAAAGATAAAAAATACTCCTAGGTCGCTCGTCCAATCTTTCAGGTGTGGCGTCTATAGAGAAACTTCAAATTGTCGCGAGCGTGACAAAAGTTTTTGTCACGCTCGCGACACGTTGCTAGTGCACAAACTAGTAGAGTTCTACTAGTTTGTGCACTAGCAACGTGCGCGCACGCGCAGAAAGAACCCTCTGTCGTTCGAAACTAGTAGAGCTTTTCTCAGTTTATTCATTGCGATTACCTTTTAGATTTAAAAAGATTAGATTTAGACAGATTTAAAAACCTTTTTTATCCAAAAACTCTCAAATCACTCTTCAAGAAAGGTAAAATAAAAAACATGTAATAACTTTGGCACTTATATTTTAATTAATATCTTCATTAATTTGTCTATTTATCTAATCTAGGTAGGTAATAAATAAATTGTAATAGGCTTTAATAACATTAGGAATAGGGAACAAACAATATACTTATCTTTTGTAACATAGTTTTTATATCTATCTAACATGTCGATAGTACCTAAACGAAGCATTTACTACCTATAAACATAAGAACATTTGTAGTGTTGAAGTGGCCTATAGTATACAAGGTGTAGTTTTGAAACCGTGACACTTTCTAGGAGGTAACTCTGCTGTCGATTCTGACTCCAAATCAATAATGGCAAACCATTTTTTTTAATACTGGCATAATATAAATGTTTTAGATGTCTTTATAACATCACCCATTCTAAATAACAATTAATGAATACTTACTTAACAACATAACATAACATCACGCCTTTTATCCCCGAAGGGGTAGGCAGAGGTGCACATTATACCACTGTACAATGTAACACCCACTTTTCACTATTTATGTTATGAGTCCCATGTAATAGGGGGTGAGCCTATTGCCATATACCGGGCACAATTCCAGACTCCGTGCTACTACTGAGAATATTTAAAAACCCAGTAATACTTTGCCCGACCCGGGAATCGAACCCGAGACCCCTTGCCCGGCAGCCGCACTTACGACCACTCGGCCAACGAGGCAGGCATACTTACTTATTCGTGTGTAAATTAAGTATAATATCTCTAATTAAATACTATTTGTATAAAGCTTAATATTCTATTGGCAGACATGTTTTCTAAGTGCTAACTAAATGCAGTTCTACATTAACACAAGAGCTACATAATTATAAGGTGAAGAATAAAGTTGACAAAAATAAATGGTACGAAAAAATATAGGGTGGCCGGGCAGTTGATGAAGATAAACCATGAGTTTTAGGATGCTAGGTAACAGAATCGTTCAACAGAATGAGAGAAAGTCTAACTGATGTTATGTGAAAATTACAAAAGAAATCATTAAAAAAATTATAATTTAAAATCTACGCACAATCGTTGAACTTACATGGGGGTGATTTGTGTACTCCTTATCATAAAGTATTCAAGTTTTATGCTTGAACGTCAACTGCCCGGCCACCATAAAGGGTGGTACACACGGCTACACATCGAGCTTTACATAACCAGTATAAACTGAACGTTAAATGTGCGGAAAGATGATGCGACGCGACACCAGGATAAACTGGTTTTGTATAGATTGATGTGTGGCCGTGTATACAATTATTATACAAAAAAAACTTAAAAGAGTTGTTTAATACTGTTAAATGGTTTGCATAGATGAGCTGAAAAAAAACAATCCTTTGAAAAAATAAGTGTTTATAAAATATATTTCAATAAAATTTTTCATTACGCCGCTCACCCACGAGCTACTGTTTTTTTATCCTTACTAATATTATAAATCGGAAAGTGAGTTAGTTTGTTTGTTTGTTTGTTCCGCTTTCACGCCGTAACTACTAAACCGATTGCTTTGAAATTTTGCAGATGTAAAGTTAGAAGTCCGGATTAAATAATAGGTACTTTTTATCCCGGAAAAATTTGACATTCCCGAGGGAAAACAAAAGAATTGGTATAGATGGCGCTGTGTGTATTGGTATATGTCACATAGGCTACTTTTTATCCTTTTGTGACGCGAGCGAAGCTGCGGGTAAAAGATAGTTATTTATAAAAACCTTGTTCGACACTAGGATTTTCTCCTGCGTCGTAGGTGCGTTTACAAACATATATAAGTTCACATACACATGACACCCAGACCCGGAACAATAACTTGTGGACTGTGTGGAGAGTTGTTCCGTGCGGGATCGGCATCAGGTTACCCAGCCACTGCACCAACCACACAGTCAAGTTGTATTTGTAGCGATGCTGTCGAACTTAGCATTGTGTGTGAGAAATACTTAGCATTGTAGTGCATACAGTACTTCACGACTGTATCGATAAAAACACGATGGTTAATTGATGCTGTCGCGTTTTTAGTTACACACGACAACGTTGCTACAAAAAGTAGCTCGTAGGCGGCCTTAAAATATACAACAATTGTTCATACAAAAGTAGGCTCTATACTTCGGAAATAAGGTTTATAATGGAGTTATACTTTAGGTAGGTTTTCACTACAATCATAACATAGCTTCCACGGCTTTGATCCCCGAAGGAGTGGGCAGAGGTGCACATTACGGCACTTAATGCCACTGTACAATGTAACACCCACTTTTCACTATTTATTTTATGTATAATATATGTATATGTTTACACTACAATCAAAATATTTTTTATTTGGTTTCCCAGTATTGTTTCGATTTGTTTACATTACTATAAAATATATAATATAGAAGGAAAAAAAGCTAATATACAAATTGGCTACTTACATAATTTGTACATGCGTAAAATGACCTAAGTGCAATTACTTATGTTTTACTAAATTAAGCCTTATGCCTAATATCAATAAAGTCTCAATATCTTTCACGGGCACCTGAGTCTCTCATAATACCTGTTTATTAGATTTTATGAGTGCTTACTTTACAAAATTCTTACATCGAGTATTATCCTAATTTTATCACGCTACAGAATATTTCGATTATTCAATATAAATATGACATTTAGTATAAATGTATGGTGGTACCATAACGGTGTTGAAAGAAAAAACGGACACAGTCTCTTGAAACAACGACTGTGGCACCTGGCTACTACAGACTTACACGCAGAACACACACACATTGACACGAAGGACATCTGTCATTTTCTTTAGTCTGGTAACGTGAGAATCCATTACACACGCACACATAAATAATGTGTCGTGGTGGCCCGGAGGTTTAAGAACCCCGCTTCTCATGCATGAGGGTGCGGGTTCAAAACCTGCCAACGGCAAGTACCAATGTGACTTTTTCCGAGTTATATGTACTTTCTAAGATTATTTAGACACCACTGACAAACGGTGAAGGAAAACATCGTGAGGAAATCTCGGTTTATAATTTCTAATTATAAGTCTGTAGTCGCCAACCCGCATTGAGCAAGCGTGGTGATTAATGCTTAAACCTTCTTCCATGTGAGAAGATGATGATGACATAAATAACCCACTGACAGTTTGGTTGGCTTCAATCTTTTCCAAGTGACAGTATGTCCGCCTATTTTCATCGTCCTTGGTACCACTAAATTATGAATCTATAAAAATAATCCATAATTCACTATCGGTCATAAATTATCACCTTTAAATAGAATTTCACTATGGATTAAGTAATAAGACATGGTGAAACAGGCGCTTAATGTACCTACGTATTTCTTTTGATTTTAATACTTTATTAGCCTAAACCTACAGCGATTACAATTCCATTATCCCTGTGATAAACATTTAACTATACAAAACTTTCTGGGAACTCATAGTCAACACTTTTAGACTTCTGAAAGGCAACAACACAATCAACCGTAATCTTTTGGTACGACACAGATTTCTTTTCACAATCCATGCTTCTAGCTTTGGCACTCTTTATTAAAACACTGCGCCTCAAAGACTGGCTTCGATTCGAATCTGTATCAATATCTGACCTAATATTTTTAATATTGGAATGACCAATAAACTTGCCTGCGTCACATCCCCTACCATCTTCCCGATCAATTTTATGTTCTACGTCAACTACTTCAGATATCTCTATATTCCCTTCACTCCTCATTCTGTTTATCACCGGCTTTGTACTTGAACAAACTGGTGCCGATTGCTGTCTCACAAATGTTTTGTTTGTAAATATTCTGTCGAACACTCCTTTTTCTACTTCTTCTTTGCTTTCTGATTCGGTGTCAGTTCGATCAATACTGCTTCTTTGGCTGAATAGTTTCTTTAAACTGTTTGTAGTTCGAGTCAGGCTACTGCTCGTTGTAGACCCGTTCGTGATTGTCCTCTGAGCTCTTCTTGTCTTGTCCTCTAACTTTCTCTTATAACATATACAGACCTTGCAGAATCCAATGCGGAATTTCGAAGACATTAAGTTGTAGAGGATTGGATTGATTGCTGAGTTTATGTAAAGCATGACCCTGGCGAAGTATAGTATGTTGTACCACTTCTCAGGACTCACGTCATCGTAGAACTCTGCTGGGGTTATTATTATCCATAGGGTGAGAGCTCTGTACGGCATCAGACATAGAAAGAAACACAACACAACGGTACCGAGCATCAAGATAACTTGCTTTCTAGCCCTCGTGTTGTAAGGATCAACAGTTTTGTTCATAACAACTTTGGAGGCTGCTGTGATTAAATTTTTGGCTATAACGCTGTATAATACTATGAGGATGATTAGAGGTAGTACGTAGAGGAGGATTATGATGGCGATGAAGAATGTGATTTGCCAGAAGGTGACAGCTTGTGTGAGGCATTGAGCGTACGTGGAGCCGTCGTGGCGGGTGACAGTGTGGTGCTCAGCTATCGCCAGGATTGGACTGAAAAGAACAAAAGTTACGATAATGATCTCTACAAAGCTTATAATAAAACTAAGGATGATTGCAACAGAATATTCTATCTACAAAAAATAATAGGTGTATCATCTAATTATGATGCATCGCTACCTCTAATATTTGTGTTGTGTAACCAACCTACATACTACATTGTGCCCTGCGAATAATATTAAATCACTTGGACATTTATGATAGGTAATTTCCTGTAGATCATTCAAATTCTTCATTAAAATTTTATGCGCAGAACTAAATGACACGTTATATTTTATTAATATTAATTTTAATTTCTTAGCTAAAGTTTTTGTTGACTGGTTTATTTATCGGCTTTGTTTTTAATGGACCGTTTTAGGCGCCTCGTACCATTAGGTGCCAACACAAATAATCTGATCTTATAAAATTTTACTTGACGTCATAGATGCATACTAGAATAGTTTTATACTATATTTTATATTACACAATATTATATTTGGTTAACTTTTAAATAGTTTGTGTCAAAGGCTATAATCGTCAGCATTTATTGTGGAAAAACATTGTCTGCTTTTTGTTTTTACTAATAACATAACATAACATAACATCATGCCTTTTATCCCCGAAGGGGTAGGCAGAGGTAAACACAGAAGTAACACCCACTTTTCACTAATTGTGTTATGAGTCCCATGTATTAGGGGGTGAGCCTATTGTCATATACCGGGTACATTTCCAGACTCTGTGCTACCACTGAGATTTTTTTTTAAACCCAGTAATACTTTGCCCGGCCCGGTAGTCACACTTGCGACCACTCGGCCAACGAGACAGTCAAGTTTTTACTAATATTATAAAGAAAATGGATTTCATTTCTCGTTTGCATTATATGCTCAGAAACTATTAAACCGATTGTAATGTTCTTTCACCATTTGTATATTTGTCTTATCTATTGATATCTATTGATAAGACATATCTATTGTTAAGACAAATATACAAATGGTGTAACTAGTATTCTAGTTTAAAGTATGGTAAGGTCGTTCCGTATATTTCTCATCAAGCCTAATACATACAAGTATGTACTACATCATATAGCACGTCACATGCTCGTTTGAACTTGACAGATGGTCCTTATTTGTGTTCGAAAGTTACCATTTTATTGTTTTTTTTTCTGTAATGAATGGTTTGAGCTCGAAGCCTTTTAATAATTTAGCCAATAGAAAGTGGGTTTGTGCCCAAATTGGTTGGTTGAGTAACGGCGTGACGTTCATTCATTTGTTTTTTATTAATGCTTCGTCTAAATGGTCAGCGACTTTTGTTATGATGTCGCCTACTCTTCGTTTTCGGTGATAGATTATTTGTTATTCTTTTTTTGAAATTAGTAAAGGAAAATAAATTTCTACAGTCTATCTATAATATCATTTATCACCATTGCTATTCCCACGAGTATCGTAAGATTTGATTCAGGAACTATGTTTTTAACAAAGACTGAGAGCAGAGCAGAGCTTTTTAATATACCTCCACACACATAATGTCACGCCTTTTAACTCCGAAGGGGTAGGCAGAGGTGCACATTTTAGCACTTAATGCCACTGCACAATGTAACACCCACTTTTCACTATTTATGTTATGAGCCCCATGTAATAGAGGGTTAGCCTATTTCAATATACCGGGCACAATTTCAAACTCCGTGCTACTATTGAGATTTAAAAAAAAAACCAGTAATACGACCAATAATCGGAATCGAATCGAACAGTTTTCATTGTACAGTGACCGTAATGTGCACCTCTGCCTTCCCCTTCGACGATAAAAGGCGTGATGTTATGTCATTATGTTACAAACAGTATTCTATTATAATAATGCGAATTGAAAAACATGACGAACAAGATGCTGACGAAACGAAAAATTATTTTTGTTATATTAAATTCGAAAATGGTTACTTAACTTTTTAAAAACCCTTTCTAAGTTCTTTCTTATCTATGCTTGCTATTTGATTTAAGTTGACATCTATTGCCATAGACAACTGACTTTATTTTTATAGAAAATGAAATCAAAGCAAGCGACATTTCATTTTTATTATTCATTAAAACAATAGGATTTTTGACAGATAGATAAATTATTACCGTTTTCTACTTTGCTAGAAATTTTAGAATGTTCCTGTGAAATTTTATGGTAGATAACATACTTATATTAAAACATGCATAAAAATTCAATAAAATAAAATGTGCAAGTGCGACATAAGCAGTCAGTGGTACCATGAAAACATATTTAGCAAACGCTACGAAAAAGAAATATAGTAAAAAAATTAACATATTTTGACTTCTTATTAGTAGGTACCTATGAAAAAAATAGATAATAATAATAATTAGTCGTCTACCCTATTAGGGTAGACGACTAATTTTTATTTTAATGTCCGTCTGGTAGATTATTTAAGAACATTAGACACGTATTTTTTATTTTCTCACAGAAACGAATAGTTTCGAAGATATATTCATTTGAAATGTCGCGTGACGTCACTTCTCAGTACATTTTATACTAAGAAATGACGTTTTAGCCCCCACTCCTAAACTTTGATTCGTTTTATCTAAGTATTGTTTTATTATACGACAAAATAAAAAAATACGTGTCTAATATTTTTTTATTACCTAACTTACGGACTAATTATATTTTTAATTTTCATACCCTGTCATCATCCCCATTAATGAAAAATATCAGTAAATAATATTTACTACAATAATAATAATAAGTGTGGGAGAGCCATGTTTCGGCACGAATGGGCCGGCTCGACCGGAATGATACCACGGCCTCATAGAAAACCGACGTGAAGCAACGCTTGCGTTGTGTTTCGTCGTGTGAGTGAGGTTATCGGAGGCCCAATTACCCTCCCCTTTCCCAATCTCCCAATCCCTGAATCCCTAACGATCCTTAAACTCCTAATCCCCAAAAGGCCGGTAACGCACTTGTAACGCCTCTGGTGTTCCAGGTGTCTATGGGCGACGCCGATTGCTTACCATCAGGTGATCCGTCTGCTCGTTTACCGGCTTATGCCATAAAAAAAAAACAAAAAATTATAGAATTATCAATCAAAATAATAAAAAAAAAATGTTATTTCAAATATATATAAGAAACATTGCAGTTTTCTTTTCAAGTTCATTTTCGGCCGAATTGCCTATTTAGGTTAGGGCAAGGGTCAATAAGTAAACTTAATTAAAATGAATAAATTTACCTAATAGGGTCGTAGAAGACAGTATTCTATTTAACATATTTTTACTAATTAGGTCTTTTATTTGCCTGCCTCGTTGGCTGAGTGGGCGCAAGTGCGAATGCCGGGCACACCCGGGTCTCGGATTCGATTACCGGGTCTGGAAAAGAATACTGGGTTTTTAAGACTTTGACTGCCAATAAAAAACTGTTGAAGGTAAATCCTCCGCTAACGCCGGTCACCGGTGAACCCCATGGCGTTTAACGTGTTAAAAAAATTTCAAGAGTAGCACGGAGTCTGGAATTGTGGTGTATGGCAGTAGACTCACCCCATTACACGGGACCCATAACATAATCAGTGAAAAGTGGGTGTTACATTGTACAGTGGCATTAAGTGCCGTAATGCCTTGCCCTATAGGGATAAGAGGCATGATTTTACGTTTCAGTATCTTTTTTCTAACAGACAAAACTTAAAAAAAGAAGAGAGAAAAAAAGAATTTTAAAAAGAAGATTTTACTTCACCGCTTATATAATTAGTCAAAGTCAAAGCATTTATTCCAATAAACCATAATTTGGTACTTTTGAAACGTCAACAAGCGTCCGTCAGTAAAACTAGGTGAAGCTGGGTGCTCATTCCAAAATGTAGAAGAACGAGCAAGAAGCTCCATTCATAGTGTTCTCTGAATGAATAAAAATATTATCATCTATAGCAATGAAAGGAAATAGATAATTCGAGTCACATTTTTCATTTTGAAATTGGAACACGCAAGCTTAGCACAAAAAACTTCAATTAAAATTTTCATTTGTAATGACAACTTGCAAAATGAGAGATATCGCGTTAAAAGATCGCACAAATAGGTATACGTCACCGACTAATTACTTTTAGCGGAATAACTTTTTTACTAACCATTCTTACACATTAAAAGAATAAGAATAAAGTTTCTTGCTCGTTCTTATCCATTCGATTCTACATTTTGGAACGAGCACCTAGCTTCACTGACGGACAGACGTAACAGACGTTTTATTATCAAATATCTAATGAAACAACATCTAACATATCGAAGTTCGTCGAGTACCGGTTTTATAGACACAATTAAAGAACAATAGGTCGCGGTCACCGGTGACCGCTTGGTGTTTGACAGTTTAAACTAAACAACAAAAGTCAAAATATAATAATTATATAGACAATTTATTTTGTATTTGTTTACTTTTCTAAAGTACCAAATTATGATTTCATCAAAATACTTAAATGCTTTTTTTAAGGGGCGAAAATCATCGAATGGTCCCTCCCACCTGGGTGAGGCGGGAGGAAGTGTCAAACTCTTACTGACTAAAATCCACCCAGTTTCTTCTCCTGCGCTTCGAGCCGGAGCCGGGTTACCGCGGCTTTATTATTACTATTTATGTTATGAGTCCCATGTAATAGGGGGTGAGCTTATTGCCATATACCGGGCACAATTCCAGACTCCGTGCGACTACTGAGATTTTTTTTTAAAAACCCAGTAATACTTTGGCCGACCCGGGAATCGAACCTCTCGGGTTCGACCTTGCCCGGCAGTCGCACTTGCGACCACTCGGCCAACGAAGCAGTCTTTTATTTAATTAAGATAGGTATTATTTTTCAAGTTAAATTTTGAAACATTTTCCCTTGTGTGTCAATAAAAAATAAAATGTACCACATCAAATATTTTCAAATTACCATGACGTATACTAAATATGTTTCCGTGATAAAAAAGCGCAAAAACAAACAGACAAACAAATAAAGCAGGGTACACACAATGGCTGATAGCTGTCACAAACATTTATAATGTAAGCAAAAAACC